GACCAGATTGACAATCACAGGAGACAGACACAGACAATAGATACCTGGAAGGCTCAAACAAATGACCCAAGGTCAGATAGGTTCAACAGCTGACATCATCAGAGGCAGACACAGAAAGAAAAGAAAAAAATAAATGAATAAAAAGACCCAGCTACTACTACAGAAGTTTAATCCATAAAGTCAGGAATTTAGGACAGATCAATTGAAGCAGAAGAAAAAAAAAAGACTCTCACACAAGTGCAAAGAAAAAGAAGTTCCCCCCAAATGAGTGGAGAAGGGGACTCCCCACAGAGAGAGCTAAATGAAATAGAGGCAAGGGAACTATCAGATACTGATTTCAAAGCAATGGCTCTAAGGAAGCTCAATGAGCTCAGCCAACTGAAAGATAACTATGAGAAACTGCAGAGAAACTATCAGGATCTTACAGCAAACTATATAAGCCTGGAAAAGGACATAGAAACGATCAAGAAGACACAAGAGGATATGAAGAATACCATTTCTGAATTGAAGAACACAGCACAAGAAATCAAAAGAAGGCTAGATGAGGCAGAGGATCGAATCAGCGAGCTGGAGGATAAGGTATAAAAAGCTCCCAGAAAGAACAATAAATGGAAAAATGACTCAAAAAGAATGAAGAGGCATTTAGGGAAAGGCAGGAACTCCTGAGACACAATAATATCCACATAATAGGGATACCAGAAGGAAAAGAAGAGCAAAGAAGAGCAAAGAAGAGAGACCCTGTTTGAAAAAGTAATGATGGAAAATTTCCCAATTTGAGGAGAGAAAAGGTCTCCCGGGTATAGGAAGCAAAGAGGGCCCCGTTCAAGAGGGACCCAAGGAGGCCCACTCAAAGACACACCATCATTAAAATGGCAACTATCAAAGATGAACAGAGAATCATAAAGACAGCAAGGGAGGAATAGGGAATAACATACAAGGAAGCCCCAATATGGCTAGCAGCTGACTTCTCAACAGAAATACTAAAAGCCAGAAAGGAATGGTAAGAAATATTCCAAGTAATGAAAAGCAAAGGCCCACAACAAATGCTGCTTTACCCGGCAAGGCTCTCAATTAAAATAGAGGGGGAAATAAGGAGTTTCCCAGACAAAAGAAGGCTAAAAGAATACATCTCCACCAAACCAGCAGTACAAGATATGGTAAAGGGACTGGTTTAAGAAGATGAAGAAAAAGAGTGAGAGAAGAAAAACAGGTACAAAGAGAAAAAATGAAAGGTTATATCAATGATAACTCTCAATGGAAATGGACAAAATGCCCCAATCAAAAGACACAGGATAGCTGAAAGGATAAGAAAACATGACCCACACATATGCTGCCTACAAGAGACCCATCTAAAAGCCAAAGACCTACACAGATTGAAAGTAAAGGGATGGAAAAAAATATTCCAGGCAAAAGGGCAAGAGAAGAAAACAAGAGTTGCAATACTTATATCAGACAAAATCAATTTCAAAACAAAGGCCATAAAAGGAGACCCAGAGGGACACTTTATAATACTTAAAGGAAGACTCTATCAAGAAGACAAAAACATTGTAAACTTATATGCACCCAATATAGGAGCACCCAAATATATAAGGAAAATCTTGGATGACTTCAAAAAAGGGACACAGCAAAGGCAGTCCTGAGAGGGAAATTCATAATAACACCAGCCTACCTAAAAAGATAGAAACATTTCAAGTAAAAGACCTAACACTACACCTTTAAGAACTGGAGAAACAACAACAAATAAATCCCAGAGCAAGTAAAAGGAAGGAAATAATCAAGATTAGAGCAGAACTGAATGACATACAGAAGAAAAAACAATTCAAAGGATCAACCAATCAAGGAGCTGGTACTTTGAAAAGATGAATAAAATTCACAAGGCTTTAAGCAGACTCATCAAGAAAAAAGGGAGAGGACCCAAATAAATATTATCAGAAATGAAAGAGGAGAAATAACAACTGATACCACAGAAATACAAAGGATTGTAAGAAACTAGTATGAACAATAACATGCTAAGAATTTTGAAAACCGTGATGAAATGGACAAATTTCCAGAAAAGTATATTCTTTTAACATTGAAGGAGGAAGAAGCAGAAAGCTTGAACAGACCCATAACAGCTGGGGAAATTGAAGCAGTGATCAAGAAACTCCCGGCACAAAAGCCCAGGGCTGGACGGTTTCACAGGAGAATTTTACAAAACATTTAAGGAAGAGCTAACCTCTGTCCTTCTCAGACTATTCCAAAAAATCCAAGAGGAGGGAAGACTGCCAGACTCCTTCTATGAGGCCAGCATCACCCTGATCCCAAAACCAGATAAAGACCCTACAAAGAAAGAAAACTACAGGCCAATTTCGCTGATGAACATAGATGCTAAAATCCTCAACAAAATATTGGCAAACCACATCCAGCTATACGTTAAAAATATTATCCACCAAGATCAAGTCGGATTCATCCCAGGGATGCAGGGATCATTCAAAACACCCAAATCAGTAAACGTGATACATCACATAAAGAAAAGGAAAGACAAAAAAACCACACAATTATCTCAATAGATGCAGAAAAAGCATTTATAAGGATTTCATATATGATGAAAACACTCAGCAAAATGGGAATAAATGGGGCATTCCTCAACGTAATAAAGGCCATATATGAAAAACCTACAGCCAACATCATACTCAACAGGCAAAAACTAAAAGCTTTCCCACTAAGATCAGGAACATGGCAAGCATGTCCGCTTTCACAACTTCTTTTCAACATAGTATTGGAAGTCCTAGCCATAGCGGTCTTACAAGAAAAAGAAATAAAAGGCATCCAAATAGGAAAGGAGGAATTAAAACTATCATTGTTTGCAGATGACATGATAGTGTACATAGAGAACCCTGTAGACTCTACCAAAAAACTCCTCACCCTAATAAGTCAATTTGGCAAAACAGCAGGATACAAAGTCAACATTCAGAAATCAAAGGCATTTTTGTACACCAACAATGCAATAGAAAAAGAAGAAATCAGAAAAAAATATAATTTGATATGGCAACAAGAAAAATAAAGTACCTAGCAATAAATTTAACCAAGGAGGTAAAAGACCTTTACGCAGAAAACTACAACATTGAAGAAAGAAATTAAGGAAGACACAAATAAATGGAAGCATATACTGTGTTCATGGATTGGAAGAATTAATGTCATCAAATTGTCCATACTACCCAAAGTAATTTATAGATTCAACGCAATCCTTATTAAGATACCAATGACGTATTTCACAGAAATAGAACAGACATTTCAAAAATTTATATGGAACCATAAACAACCCCGAATAGCTGCAGCAATTTTGAGGAAAAAAAAAAAAAAAAAACAAAGTAAGAGGTATCACAATAGCAGACATCAAACTGTACTACAAAGCCGCTATACTCAAAAGAATCTGGTACTGGCACAAGAACAGACCCATAGACCAGTGAAATAGAATAGAAAGCCCAGAAATTAGCCCAGGTCTATATGAACAACTAATATTTGACAAAGCGTGCAGAAGCATAAAGTGGAGAAATAATAACCTCTTCAACAAATGGTGTTTGGAAAGGTGGACAGCTACATGCAAAAAATTGAAATTGGATCATCAGCTGACACCATACACAAAAAGAAACTCAAGATGGATAAAAGACTTAAATATGAGTTGCAACACCATAAAATTCCTAGAGGAGAACATTGGCGGGAAACTCTCAGATATCTCATGTGGCAATTTTTTTCACCGATATGTCTCCTAAAGCAAGGGACTTAAAGGAAAGAATAAACAAGTGGGACCTCATCAAAGTAAGAAGTTTCTGCACAGGTAAAGAAAACTTCAGCAAAATGAAAAGGGAGCCAACTGTATGGAAAATATATTTGGTAATGATATACCAGATAGAGGTCTGATCTGCAAAATATATAAAGAACTCACTCAACTCCACTCCAAGGAGACAAACGATCCAATCAAAAAGTGGGCAAAGGACTTTGCAGATGCTTTTCCAAGGAAGAGATACAGAGAGCCCAGAGACATTTGAAATGATACTCAGCATCACTAGCCATCAGAGAAATGCAGATCAAAACCACAGTGTGATATCACTTCACACCGGTCAGAATGGCCATCAGAAACAGATCAACAAACAACAGGTGATGGAGAGGCTGTGGAGAACAGGGAACCCTAGTACTCTGTTGTTAGGAATGCAGACTGTTGTAGCCATTGTGGAAAGCAGTGTGGAATTTCCTCAAAAAGCTGAAAATGGAAGTGCGTTTCGATCCAGTGATTCCGCTCCTGGTAGTATACGCTAAGTATCCCAAAATGCCAATTCAAAAAAACCTATGCACCGCAGTGTTCATAGCAGCACAATTTTCAATAGCCAAGTGTTTCAGCAACTTAAATGCCCATCAGTTGATGATTGTATCAAAATATTATGGTATATTTACAGAATGGAATACTACCAGCAGAAAGAAAGAAAGAACTACTACCCTTCACTACAGCATGGATGGAACTAGAGAGCATTATGCTAAGTGAAATACGCCAGGGGGCGAAAGACAAATACCATATGATCTCACCATTAAGCGGAAACTAACCAACAGTACAAAGATGAAAGGAAAATAACACCAGAATCACTGTAAGAAAAAAGAAACCAGCAGAGACAAGGGGGAAATAGGGATTGGTGGGCGGAGGCAAAGGAATGGAAGGGACAAGTCAAGGAACATATAGCAAGGACTCATGATAAAGCCAAAGTGGGGAAGGATTGAGGGAGGGAGAGGGAGCGGGGGGCAGTGGAAATTGGTGGGGGGAAGGTGGAGACAAATGTATTTGAACAAATAAATTAGTTAATTAAAAAAAATTTAATCCTCCCCCCACTGGCTGCTCTGAAAATCTATCTTTGCATTGTGCCTCTCCGCTCGCTGCAGCCACCTCCACCATGTGCTTCCTCCGTCTCCGGGGACTCCGGCAGCAGCGTTTTCGCCAGAGTCCTTGAACTCCCCCTTTAAAAAAAAAATTCACTGCATAGTATCACCGGCGTGCCCACCATGTCAGACGAGGCCATGGATACCAGCTCCGAGATCACCACCAAGGACTTAAAGGAGAAGAAGGAAGTTGTGGCGGAGGCAGAGAATGGAAGAGATGCACCTGCTAATGGCAACGCTAATGAGGAAAATGGGGAGCAGGAGGTTGACAATAAGGTAGATGAAGAAGAGGAAGAAGGAGGGGAGGAGGAGGAAGGTAATGGTGAGGAAGAGGATGGAGATGAAGATAAGGAGGCTGAGGCTGCAATGGGCAAAGGAAGGGCAGGTGAAGATGATGAGGATGACGATGTTGACCCTAAGAAGCAGAAGACTGATGAGGATGACTAGACAGCAAAAAAGGAAAAGTTAAACTTAAAAAAAGGCCACCGTGACCTATTCACCCTCCACTTCCCGTCTCAGAATCAAAACATGGTCACCTTCGAGTAGAGAGTCCCGCTCGCCTACCGCAGGCAGCGCCACACGCAATGACATGCGCTCTCCACCACCCAATCAAAACCACAACGTAAATTTGCAACAGGGGAGGAAAAACACCAAAACTTCCAAGGCCCTGCTTTTTTTCTTAAAAGTATTTTAAAAAGGAAAATTTGTTTGTATTTTTATTTATATTTTATATTTTTATACATATTGTTAGGGGTCAGACATTTTTAATGATCCCGGGATGACCAAACCAGCCTTTGGAGCATTCTCTTTTCCTACTTCCGACTTGACTTGTGGTGTGACCATGTTTATTATAATCTCAAAGGAGAAAAAAAAAACCTTGCAAAAAACAACAACAAAAACATAATTTTATTCCAAACATTCCAGTAACTTTTTGTGTATGTACTTAGCTGTACTATAAGTAATTGGTTTGTATGAGATGGTTAAAAAGGCCAAAGATAAAAGGTTGCTTTTTTTTTTCCCTTTTTTTGTCCATGAAGTTGCTCTTTATTTTTTTTGGCCTGTTTGATATATGTGTGAAACAATATTGTCCAACAATAAACCGGAATTTTATTTTGCTGAGTTCTAACAAAAAAAAAATTAATCCATTATAAATTCTCAGCAATTAAAACAACATGACACCAGCACAGAAATAACCAAGTAACCAATGAAATAAAATGAGCATTCTATAAACAAATATATATATATATATATATATATATATATATATATATATCTGTCTAACAATGTAATATATGATTAAATTGATATTTCAAACCAATGGGGAAAATAAGGCTTATTGAACAAATAAGGTGCATGGTCCACTACTCCTTGAAATAAAACAAATATATGGCCCTATTTCACACATTATACAAGAAATATTCAGGTGAGTTAAAAATCAATATGCAAAATCTATGGAGTTTTAGGAGAAATGATACAAAATAACTTTTTTCTTACCCTGAATTAACATGTACAAATGCAGAAGATATAAAGTAAGATGCTGACAATATGACCATATAAAACATTTAAGACTATATATTAGTATACATAAAAAAGTTAAAGGACATGCAAATAGAGTAGGAAAATGTTTGCAACACATCTAAGAAAGGGTTAATAGATTTTTGGTTTTTATTTTTTAGGGCAAAAATTCTACAAACATTTAATAAAAAAATAGATAAAGAATTCCAAAACATCATTTAAAGCTTTTTAAAAATAATAAATAGGCAAGCAAAAACAGGTTTAGTTTCAACAAATAACAAAGTAACAATTAAAACAACACATCATTGTCACAATCAGATTAATGAGTATTAAAAATATTGGTAATATCAAGTATTGATGACTGTGAAAGGAACTGGGTATTTATGGACTCTTTTTCTTTATCTTAAAGCAGTCCTTTTAGCATATTTTGCAGTGCTGGTTTGGTGGAGGTGTATTTTTTGGCCTTCTTTTGTCTATGAAACTCCTTATTTCGCCTTACATTTTATTTTTTTTCTTTTTTATTTCTTTTTTATTGAATTTATTGCAGTGACACTGGTTAACAAAATTATAGAGGTTTTAGGTGTACACTCCTATAATACATCATATGTATACTGCATTGTGTGTTCAAAACCCCAGGTCAAGTCCCTGTCCTTCCCCATTTAACCCCCCCATGCCTCCCTCCATCTGTCCCCACCCTGCTCCCCCAGCATTCACCATACTGCTGTCCATGTCCATGAGTTTTTTTCTATTTTTTTCTTTTTTGAGTGTATTGTTTCTTCCAAATTATATAGTTTAGAGAAAATAAATGTATTTATATTATTTTACTTTATATCAGTCAAATTAGAATTTTGGCCTAAGTTATTAAAATTATCAAGTATTCTTATTTAAAGCATAACATTATGTGCTTTAAATAATTGAGAGTCTTGATGGGTAGAGCAGTCTTGGTTGCAGGTCTTTCCTTTTTAATACTTGGAATATTTCTTGCCATTCCCCTCTGGTGTTTAGTGTTTCTGTTGAGAAGTCAGCTACTCACTGTACTAAGGCTCCCTTATATGTTACTACGTCTTTCTCCCTTGCTGCCTTTAGGATTCTCTATTTGTTTTTGATATTTGCCATTTTAATGACAATGTATCTTGGAGTGGGCCTCATTGGGTTCCTCTTGAATGGGGCCCTCTGTGGTTCCAGGACTTGTGTCACTTTTTCTCTCCTCCAATGAGGGGAGTTTTCCATCATTACTTTTTCAAACAGGTTCTCTATCCCTTCCTCATCTTCTTCTCCTTCTGGTATCCCTATTATATGGATATTATTATGTTTCAGGTTGTCCTGCATTTCCCTCAATGCCTCTTCATTCTTATTGAGTCTTTTTTTATTTTCTTGCTCTTTCTGGGAGGTTTTTTCTACCTTGTCCTTCAGCTTGCTGATTCAGTCCTCAGCTTCATCGAGCCTCCTTTTGAATACTCCTACTGTGTTCTTCAATTCAGAAATGGTATTCTTCATTTCCTCTTGTCTCTTATTGATAGTTTTTATGTCCTTTTTCATGCTGATAAAGTTTGCAATGAGTTCCCTGTAGTTTCCCTGTAGTTTTTGGTAATTCTCTCTAAGCTCACTGAGTTCTTTGAGCTTCCTTAGAGCCATCGTTTTGAAATCAATATCTTTTTTTTTTACCTGCTTCTATTACATTTAGTTCTCTTTCTGGGGATTCCTCCTTTCCCTTCAAGTGGGGGTTATTCCTTTGTCTTCCCTTTATTTATGAGACTCTTCTTTCCTGCTTCTGCTTCTTAAATTGATGTGTCTTGATTTCCTGACCTTGTGGTGCCAACTTTTATGGTAGGAAACTGCTGTTTTTTCTTTCTGGATCTGCATGTGATGATGCCAGATGATAACCCTGTCTAATCTTTGCACTCTGTTTGAGACTTCCAGGAATCTACTGTCTGTGGCTTTCTCCTTCAGCTGTTAGTCTTGTCACTCTGCTCTTAGCAGGCTGGCTTAGACACCACAGGGAGTGGCAGAGTTCCTCCTGGGAGTGCGGTTATTGGATTGCGTCACGCTGCTGCCACTCAGGGGAGTGGTCTGCGTGAGACAGATGGCTGCTGCCATTTGGCAGAGGAGTCAGCACCAGGATCTCGCCAGCCAGTCTCTCTGTTCTCTCCCAAAGCCTCTGTTTCCAGTCTCTCCTCAGGTGTCTCCAGCTCACTCTGCCCCCTCCCCTGCTGGATCCCAGGGTAAGTGGCTTCCATAAAAATTCATACATTGGCCCTTTAAACGGCTTTTTGAGTCTCCATCTGTGCATCTCTGGGAGAAAGCAACTCTGCTGCTTTTATCAGCTGGCTGTTATCTGTGTATTTTGGGGGGTCTGGTGCTGTACTGGAAATCCCCTCTTATGGTTTAGACCCCTGACTTCTCATGAGGATCCAGCTGGCCGTCTCAATATCCTTCTGGTACTGCCTCCTGTGTGTGCTCTGCCCACCTTCTCCAGTCTCTACTGCACTCCTTACCAGTTAGATTGTGCTAAAACTGATTCTTCTGTCTGTCTGAGGTTACAAGGCTCCTCTCTCACTATTGTTCAGTTGTTTGTTCCAAGTGATTTCTCCCCAATTTAGTTATAATTCCAGGTTTGTCCTGGGAGGAGGTCAGTGTGACTTCTACTCATTCCTCCGCCATCTTGATTCCTAGTGTCTCAAATTACATTAGTTTTCAGTGTTCAACATAATGATGTGATATTTGTATATATTGTTAAATGATGATGATAGTTAACCTCTGGCACCATATATATTTACAGATTTTTTTCTTGCAATGAGAATTTTTAAAATTTACTCTTATTTTGCTTTCAGTTTTATATCCCACATATGAGTGAAGTCATATGGTTGTGACTTTTTCCATCTCACATATTTTGCTTAACATGATATTCCTATGATCTATCCACATAGTCAAAAAATATATTATTTCATCTTTTCTCATGGTTGAGTAGTATTCCAAACTATATATGTAACATCTTCTTTATTCAGTCATCTATTGAAGAATACTTTTATTGTCTCCATATCTTTCCAACCATAAATAATGCTACAATGAGTAGAAGGCTGCAAATATTTTTGCAAATAAATGTTTTCAAATTTTTCACGTAGATATCCAGTAATAGTTTTGCTGGCTCATATTATAACTCTATTCTAAATTTATTGAGGAGCTCCCATACTGTTTTCCACAGTGGCTGTACCAAAAATACACAAAAACTCATAGACACAGACAATAGTGTGGTGGTTACCAGAACGAAGGGTTTGGGGGAATAGTACATGGTAAAGGGAGCTAAATATGCAGTGACAGAGATTTGTTTTTGGATGGTGAGTGAGCAATGCAATGCAAAGATAATGTATCATATACCTATATAATCTTATTAAACATTGTCACCCCAATAAACTTAATTTTTTAAAAATTGCCTGGCTGGTGTGTTCAGTGGATTGAGTTCCAGACTGTGAACTAAGGGGTCGTTGGTTTGATCCCCAGTCAGGGCACATGCCTGGGTTGCGGGCCAGGTCCCCAGTAGGGGGCACATGAGAAGCAACCACACATTGATGTTTCTTTCCCTTTCTTTTCCCTTCCCTTCTGTCTCAGAACAAATAAGTAAAATATTTTTAAAAAATGGGCAGCAGTCCTGTATAGACACTTCTCCAAGGAGGGCACACAGAGGGCTCATCCCAGTTTTTAATTGGATTGATTTTTTTTGTTTGTTTGTTTTTGTTATTTACTTGTATGGGTAATTTATATATTTTTTGTATTAAACCCTTATCAGATATATGATTTGTAAATATTTTCTCCCACTCTATTAGGTTGCCTTTTCATTTTGTTGATGGTTTCCTTTGATGTGCAGAAGCATTTGGTTTGTTGTAGTCTCACTTGTTTATTTGTGCTTTTGTTGCTTTTGTTTTTGGTGTCAAATAAAAAAAAATCATCTCCAAGACCAAATTCCATGAGTACCACCTGTGTTTTCTTCTATAATTTTTATATCTCCTCATCTTAAATGAAGACTTTAACGCATTTTGAGTTCATTTTTATATATGATGTAAGATAACAGTCCAGTTCAATTCTTTTACATATGACTATGCAGTTTTCCAAACATAAT